CCCAGACACTACTCACCAAGGTAGAATGTAGAGCATTATCTTTATAAGTAGTGTCATGCCAATTGAGCTAGATGTTCCCCGAGACCATGGTCCCCAGATAGGCTCTACTTTTTTTAAACATTAAAATGCAAATATGTTTAAGCTCCTACATTTTGACCTGTTATAATTGCATTCCTCAAACAAAATAGAATACTTCAGTGATACATGTAGTTCCTCCTTTTTTACATAAGGCCATTTTCTTGCAACTTGGTCCTAAGGAAGTCCCAGACTAAAATAGTGCATCAAGAGGACTGTGCATAATCAGCCTCACTAAAAACAGCTTGATTAATACTGAATATGTCCTAGTTCCTAATCAATTATGCTAACAAAGTCACAAGCAGCACATCTGCAAGCCCTGACAAGGCCCATGATCTCAGTAGAGCCTGATAACCGGGACTCCTTGGGAAGCTGCTCAGTGTAGCATCCTCAGTGCAAAGACTAAATCTCTGCACATTGTAAGTGCATGAACAAAAGGCATGCTAATTTTGTAACACTGTTACAAACTTTACTACTGTTATTTTATTCGCTTAACATATTATTGGGTTCTAGAATGAAATGTCAGATTAAATTGCTCTCTAACTATAACAATAGAAACCTAAGTGTCCCACTTAACAAATGACACATCCTTTCCAAGTGACAGATTGATAGACAAAACATTTGCCACTTGGTGCTTTACGAACCTCTGCTAGGTGATAAGACAGAGCTAAACATTTGAATAATCTGACTGGCAAAATCTGCCTCAAGCTGGGGAATCTGAGCTGCTTGATTTATGTCCATCTCACAACAACAGAATTAGAATCTTATAAAACTGAATGTGACACTAGTATTTATAGACTGTCTATCGTCATGTACATTTGAGCAGTGAGAGAGTCACTTGTCAGCTTTGTGTGAAGTTACCTCAAGTCACAAGAATGTTAGAATAAATAGAATTCTGATCTTTTTTCTGTTTTGGGGGGGTAGCCAACTGGGCGCTATAAAAATTTGTTTAATTCACTTTCTTACTCTCTATGTAAATGATACATAATAGTAGCCAATAATGAAATTAACCATGGTTTTTGTTGTTTTATTACCTTCAGTATGAACTTGGCTATATTTGAGTCTTGTGGGACCCTGAAATTCCTTCCTCAAGCAGCCCCGACTCTGATGCCAGGGCCTGCAGGCGCCTCTTCTTGAATGAATCCTCACGAGAGTGATCAGCCCTAGTCCCAAAGGATGGCCAAAGCCAACAGGCTGTTGGACATAGTGGAAAGAAACATGGACAAATGAACTGGGGTGTCCACATATGTACCTGCAAGCTCCCTCTCAGTGTGGGACGGAGCCAGGGTGAGAAGGGGGCTGTAGGCTGAGGGGACATCACCATTTGTACTCTTGCAAAAAAATAGGGATTTACTTGGCTTTAATTAGTTGTGCTTTTATATCTGAAAAAAGTCTTGGTAGACAGAAACTGTTTTCTATTAATTTTGAATCTCCAGTAATATGGACAATATTAAACTCATTCTTATGGTTGGAATTTAATAAATAATAGCTGAAGGATGAATGAATGAAGACTTAAGATATGATTTAAAATTTCCAGCAATATTGTACGTGATGACGCTTCCCTTCTTATATTTTGCTGATCTAAGCAGCATTATATATACAGATAGATAGAAAATATATATATTTGGGAAGTTACATAAATGCATTAGTCATGAATTTCATCATCTCTAAGATGGGACAAGAACAGAAGTGACCTCAGAAGGTGTTTTAAGAACATTCTCAAATTTATATCACTAGTAAGACGTGTAGCTCAGATTCAAACCTAGAAACTCTTCCACCAGTCTTAAGACACAAACTGAGCAAGCTGGGATAAAACAGCAAGAAATGCAAGGCAAATCATTGTCTTTTTTTTCCCTATACTTTCTGGCTTGACTTCCATGTTTTCAGGCTGGTCATCCTGGAAGGTGAATGTCACTAATTTAGGCCCTCAAGTGGAAATATTTGGTTTTCTACCTGTTGCCGGCTCATAGCGACCCTATCGGACAGAGTAGAATTGCCCCATAGGGTTTCCAAGGAGCAGCTGGTGGATTTGAACTGCTGAGCTTTTGGTTAGCAACCACTCTCTTAACTACTGGGCCACCAGGGCTCCAAAATATGAAACGCTTCACAAATTTGCGAGTCATCCTTGTGCAGGGCCAATGATAATCTTCTGTGTGTATCATTCACAATTTTAGTATATGTGCTGCCGAGATGAACACGTTGGTTTTCTAAATAGGAGCAAATTGGAATTTCAGAAAAAGTAAATTTTAGTTTAGATATAGTAAAGCTATGTAAGAAAATCTTGGATTTTCTTGTTGTTATTGTAACTATTTTGTTTGTTTCTCTACATTCTACTTTATCTACATAGAAAAAAATCTTTGGAGAAAAATAAATTACTTGCCTACAAGAGCAGGTGATGCTGGAGTGGGTCTGGAGGCTTGTTCTGTCGGTAATGGAGGTGGTAAGGCTGGGCTTTGTCCTGTGTATACAATGCATGAGTTAAGTACTGGGGAAAAAATTATTAGCAAATTTAATGTCCACAACTAAAATAGCTAGATCTGTCCCCAACATGAATAATTCATAATCCTGAGTATAAATTCATATTATTATGCAATAAGAAAACTGTTATTAGGTAAGACCTTTAAATGGATACATTCACAGATTCATTTATCCTCAGAGCTATTTCTGAATATATTATTTTTCGTAGATGTATATACGAAGTTAAATATATCTACTGGACTTTATTAATGGAAAATCTACATGAGGTCAAGTAAAGCAATTTATTTTCAATACGCACTTTAAATTATGAAAAGTAAAATCACAGAAGCTGAGAGGAATCCTAATATATAGAAAAATAATCATTTTTCCATTTAACTAAAAATTCTTAAATGATATAACAGGACAATAAAAGAAGGTTGAAATTCATAGGCCTTTCAATATTGAACAGGTACATTTTCTCCTGCCAAAATAAATGACCTGTAGTTAAGTAAATAATGAGCCGAAGGGAAAATATATTCAGTTTTATGGAACTTTGAAATGCTCCCTCAAGTCTCTGGGCTTATTATGAACTGTATAAAAACCCACAATCATTTCCGAGTGCTTCCTTATCCCAAGTGATTTCTTTAATTAAGTAATACCAGCCAGGCCATGAACTGTAAACATTAACTAGCGTATGATCCCATATGAAATGCTTGCAAAATGTTTTATCATTAATTTCCGTTCCATAGACTCATGCTGTATATATTTTTTTATCCAGGAATCGACATGGGCATATGCACCTTCTAAAATCTCACTTACAACTAGATATTATCAAATGTCAGCAGACCTGCCTGCTTACTGAAAGTTTTCCTTTTATAGAACTTGTCAAAATTAGTTCTCTGTGGCGAATTATAGTTTAGTAAGCAGCGCAATCAGAGTTCCACACGCGCCCATTCCACAATGCTGCAAAAGGGAGAATTCTAGTCCTAGGCCCTCATGCCCAGGAGACCTCAGTCTCCATCCATTGCAGGATTTTCCATACAGGTTGATATTTGAGCATATTCAAGTATGTATAAAAGCAAAGCATATTGTTTCAAAACATGCAAGCCACATACCTAGAAAAATATTAATCCATAATATATATGTTTTTTTCTCATTGGAGCAAAAATTTTATAGAAACAAAATGCAAATAGATGTTCTTTTTCTGAGGAGTAAGAAAAGGTAAGGTTGAATACGAGAAAAAGAAGCTTGACCCACATGATTTTTCCCTGACATTTACAGGGATGTGATGTGCTTATGATGTGCCAAGAACAATGCCGAAAAGTTTCCTTGTATTAAGTCACTTCATCTGCATAAAATCCTTAGAACATAGGTATAAGTCTCATGTTACAGTTTTGGAAACTGAGGTGAACAGTGAATCAGACCGCTCAGCTCCTAAGAGACGCTCCAGAGTTCCAGTGCTTCACACTCCTCTCAGACAGCCTGAGGATGATGGTAAGAGGCTCACCTTATACTGGAGAGACCACAACTGCAGCTGAGGGAGGACAGAGGAGTGAGGCTTCTACCTTGAGTCTTCCACCTTCTTTGTGGGTCAAAGGGATATACAAAGACTTGTTCTCAAGTCTTGCTTGAGAGCTGTCTTGAAAAAAATATATCTAAGACAGAATGGCATTTGCAACTTTTTTAAAATCCAAGGAGAGCCTAGATTTAGGAATGAGTCGATTAATTGACAACAGCTTAAAATACAAGCAGTCATGAATACAAATTGTTTTTAAATTCTAAGACTTGCAAAAATATCTCCATGGAAGGGTGTCCAGTTCAATATAAGCTGCCTCCTATCCTGCCATATACTTCTGTGAACAATGGTGGATGTATTATAGTCTTTTATCATTTTGATGAGCTCCTCAGGAATTTATTTAAAAGTTATGAGGTTCTTTTCACCAGAGAGTTTCATATAATTTATACTACAAAATATTCTGAGATTCACCTGGAAGGACTATAAGTTCATTATTTCATTGAAAAAATAACTTTATCGATCATTTATTGCATACCAAGCACTGAGGAATGATAAAACTGCAACCCTGCTTTCAAGAATCTCCGAGTTTACTAGCTGAAGGCGGCTTATAGACAGGTTATTATAATAGAGAATGCTGATGGATACAGAGGAGATATGGCAGAAAGATTTCTAGAAGAGATTAATCGTAATGTGCATTTAAAAGCCTAAAAGGAGTCTGCCAGATAAAGACGGATTGGAGAAGGGGAGCCATTCCAGGCAGAGGGTATCTCATGAAAAAAGGCCTGGAGGCCAGCGTGTCCAAAAAAATCCTGTTGCTCTCAAGTTGATTCAGACTCATGGTAACCTCATGTATGTCAGAGTAGAACTGCACCCCTTAGGGTTTTCATGGTTATAATCTTATGGATGTAGATTGCCTAGTCTTTCTTCTGTGTATTTGAACCTCCAACCTTTTGGTTAGTAGCCAAGCGCAAACCGTTTGTGCCACCCAGGGTACAACTATTAAAATAATCAAACTGGTGTTTCTACAGGATAAAGTGCAATATCCAGTTTATATCAGAAATTCTCTTCAACTGTAATTGAGTATATTGTGCTCTCCTAAGGTGGCTGACTGCATGACTGTGAGGCAGTGAACACAATAGGGAAGTAAGACTGTAAAAAAAGAGAAGGGAAGGGCAGATGGCCACTTGCCTCCATGAGGACAGTGATAGTTGGCCTTGGCAGGGGAATTATTTGCTTGGGACCCATGTAGGCTGTTCTAAGGGATGCCAAAAAAGAAAAAAAAAAAAAATCAGGCTCTTCATACTCGGGTATGGTACGTGGCTTTAATATTGACTGATAGAAAAGATTTCTTTGATGTTCAAATAATGTCAGAGAATGCTATTGAAATTAAAGGCCATTTTGCTACATAAATGAACATATTATTATATATTATATACAATATTACATATAATAAATTATATTAAATATACTATTATATTTATAGTACAATTTAAAAATGAAAGCCATGTTGCTTGGTGTAAAGGCCTTATGCTTCGGAGACAAATGCATATAGGTTTATTAGTTGTGTGAACTTGAAAAGCCTCAGGAAGTCCCCAAGCCTCAATAGGGCCTCTATAAAATGAGGCTAGTTTTTACGGTTGTTACGAAGATTAAATGATTAACCATCCAACACAGAGTAGATATTCAAAATATTAAGTCTTTCTCCCATAATGTCTTTATAATTTATATTCCATCTGGTTGCACAGGAGGATTGGAAGCAGGATTTTGAAATAAGAAAACAAACACGTGAAAGATACAATTAAACATGATAGAAATAGCAGAACACATTTACAGGAAAGAGGTTTATAATTTTATTGTGAATATTTTCCTTTGGAATTCCTGAAGATTGTTACTGTCTGAATAAAAAGTTGTTACTCTCTGAAATTTACACTGGAACTCTAAAGGTGCCCTTTATTTCACAAGCTATTACCAGAAAATCCCTCTGACATTCAAACCCAGGGAGTTAATTTTATTTCTGTGCCTTGAATGATTTTGGGTGGCTTATTTCCATAATACCTGAATGACATGTTTGTAAGCTGCCAATATTTTATTGTTCTGAGTTCTTTCTCACATAAGTCCATTTCATTTGTTTTTGGTTTAGTCAACTTCCTTTGAGGATAGTTTACAGTGCATACTTCTCCTAATGATCTAAGTTACTGATGTTTATTTTGTTAGAAGTGATGAAGGAATTACTCAGAATCTCAAGTCAAGTAGGAGGCTGTGAGGTGAATTCAGATTGTATGAAGTAGACAAGATTTCACTGCACTAAAGTTTAATGTATGTAGTTTCTTTATGGAAGGCAATTCCCTGGTTGAAAACAATTTCTAGACAACTAAAACCTACATCCTAAAACTTGTAAAAAAAATGTTGACAATATTTTTTCTCTAATATCTGATAGATATTTTATTCCTTAGGCCTCCATTGTATTTTCCTGGAGGTATTAAGAGATAGACCAAAGGAATATAAACACTTTGGAAAGGCCTCTAGTACTGCAAACAATGAATGGCAATAGATCCTGGGAAGGAGAGAGTGTGAGGATCTCTAGTAAGTGACCATGGAATTCAAATTCATTGGCGTTTTTAAAAAGTAGGAAGTGTGAAATCATTATAAACTCTATCCCAGTTTGTTCTTTAAGGTTCATAAAACCAGCAAAAAAAAAAAAAAGTTGCCATGGAGTCAACGCCGACTCTCAATTGTCAGGCCTTTCTTCTAAGACATCTCTCGGTGGACTCAAACCACCAATCTTTCTGTTAATAGCTGAGCACTTATCCATTTGCACCACCCAAGGACTTCTAAGGTTTGTAAAGGTATTTATAATCTATGAGTAAAAGTAAAGTGGGAAGATCTAACGTTACCAAGAAAATGATAATCAAGTTTGTTAACACAATATTACTTTTATATCGACACAAGTTTCCTAGATTGACTGTTTTTGCAACTTGTAAAATAGAGTTTAAAGTTTAGAATTTAACAAATACTAATTAACTGAAAACAAACATGATTTGATATCTTAGAGGAAGATGTGATCGTCGAAGCGTCCTGAATTAATAGGGCACTTGACCTTCAAGTTTCCTTACTGTCTCTTTCTCCTGCCTTGTACTTTTAGACCACTTACAAAATGGAGAAAAGGGACCACAGAAATTTGGAGTATTAATCACTCCTTCAAGGAGCTTTGGTTGCACAGTGGTTAAGCACAGGGCTGCTAACTGACAGGTAGGCAGTTCAAACCCATCAGCAGCTCCCTGGGAGAAAGATGTGGCAGTCTGCTTCTATAAAGATTACAGCCTTCGAAACCCTATGGGGCAGTTCTACTCTGTCCTATAGGGTTGCTATGAATCAGAATTGACTCCATGGCAATGGGTTCAATCACTCTTCCATTTCCTAGGTCTCAAGCCCACTCTGACTCCTTGAAAAGGACAAAGAGATTGAACGGTTCCATTCTTTAAAAC